AGTTGTTCTTGTCTTCTTTGGAGTGGGAGATGATGATGATTTCCACTCTACGCCTGTTTGTTCTCAGATCAAAGAGATGTAGCCAGGTTTCATCACCAGTGACAACTGATTACATCTAGATCGACCACCAGATGTTGCAACTCTCAACAGACTTTTATCTAAACCTGCTTCTGCACAAGTGTTAGAAGCCGGGAAAATTCACCGAGAACAAAATCATTTTACATGCAAATGATCGCACAGAATTGTAAGGACCCTCCCACGAGAGAAATTTAACATCAGTAAATTCATCGATACGATCTTCTCTGACAGTGACACCAGCGATGTTAATGAGTACGTCAGTCTTGCAGGAGTTTATATATAAACGTGTCTGCTTTGAGATTGATACTCAACGTTCAGAGAACGCTTTGAAATATCGAAATATTATAAATCATGGAAGAACTATTTTACTATATGTCTGTTTCAAGATTTTATAAGATCCTGCAGCGAAGGCTTAAATGTTAAAAGCAGAAGAAAACTTTCAACTCTGCTTCCTGCTGGTCACGATCAATTTTTATTTAAATTTTCCATCTTTTGATATCGTTTGAGCCGGATATTATATCGAAGCAAAAGAAAAAAAAAACTGTAAATTGTCACTTTATTTAATAGTATCATAATACAGTATAACATGTATAATAGTATAATATACTGTATACAGTAAAACCTGAAGGAACCTGAGTAAGGCGGAAACCTTTCAGAAGTGTAAAAAGTTCAAATATTTTTCAGTAAAACGATTACATCAAGCTAAGAAATGTTCTCTGAAAGCCGGAACTTGTGAGGCGCTGTCGGAATGGAAGAAATCGTACTTTTGCAATCCAAATACCAGGAACTATACACACGAAAGTTAGAAATTGTGTGTTCTGTATTTCCACATCGATGCAATACCATTTCTGTCGGGAAATAAATTACTGTATCTTTCATTAGAGGGACTTTCTTATAAATTTGTTAAAGAGTAGTCTATCAATGAAATTACAAGCAATGGAAATATCGTAATTGCATCTATTAACGGATTTTTAAAGATAACATTTTGATATTTTTATCGTAATTTTTAAGTTTTTCTTTTAAGAAGTTTTTTCCTGATTTGAAATTCTGAATTATTAAAACTGTTATATAATTTATACATCTGTTTCAGCATGATTCCTATAAAAGTAGTATGGAAGATTATTTAATCTTTAACGTAAAATTATTAATCTTCCATCTTTATCTTTTTTCTTCTTCCTAACTTGTTTTTCTTAAAATGAAAAAACATAAAAAGAAAAAACACAGGAAATACTTCACAAATAGCCATTAAATTCTGAGAATTGTAAATTATATTTTTATATATTATAGTAAACTTATATTTCGTAGAATATTATAGATTAATGATTAGAATATAGTATGAATTATGAAATAGTCAATCTATAAATATAATAATACTGTATATTAATATTAGGTAATATTTTGCTACATAAAATTCAATAACGACAGACATCAAGCAGTGAATTAATTCATTATTGAATTTTGTCCTATCTAAAGTATCTTGTTCTATGGAAATCGAATCTGGAACATCCAGTTCTATGTGTAAAAAGTAACAAATCTAACTTTTTGAGAATAAAGCGTGCCCACCAGTGACCAAGCGGTCTTCGTACCCTGAACACTGGGAGTTCGGTCGTGGAATCGTGCCTCGCTCGGACGGGCTGGCCACATGGAGTTTTCCGGGTTTTCTCCACGTCTGTAACGCCTAAACAGGGGCCAGTTACCTTTAAAAAGACCTCCCGGAAGGCATCTCCCTAGGCAGATCGCCCAAGAGTTGCGTTGCCATAACTTAACAAACAAACAAGGGAGAAGCATCGCCAGTTCGAAGTAATGGTAATAAAGCTAATTCGAGTTCGTTCGTTAAGTTACGTCAACGCAACACTTGGGCGATCTGCCTAGGGGGATGCCTTTTTAAGGTTAAACTGTCCCATATTCAGACGTTACAGATGTGGAGAAAACCCGGAAAACTCCACGTGGCTAGTCCGTCCTGGCCAGGCGTGAACCCACGACCGAACTACCCAGTGTTGTGGGAACGGAACCGCTTGGCCACTGGTGGACCAAGATCAGAGTTTGCCTTGACCCAGCAGTAATATTGATATCTTATCTGATGATATATATTTATATAGGACTATATAGCACATCAATTAAACTTTGTTGAAAGCAAACACGTAAACAATTTCGAAACTCTGGTTGTTCGCTTTCATTTCCAGAGAGAAGTTTTTCTCACTTAATTCTGAGCTTCTTTTTAAAAAAATATTTCCAATTTTTTCAGATATTTTGGTATGTCATCTATATTTAGGTTACCACATATTGTTATTAGATTTGAACGTATTATATATTATACCTGATATGTTTATATCGGTACAATTTTTTGATACTTTATGAAACGGAAAACACTTATTCTTGGGGAATTTAGTAGCCAGTCGGATGGCCGAAGTGGTTAAGACGTCAGTATATCGCCTTGGAGTCTCAGAAAATTTTCATACGCAGCCTGTCCCAAATATGACAGGTTTAGTCCCTCACCACCTGTTCGTTCTTGTTGTGGAGTTTTTTTTAAACTCTTTCCTCCCTGTGGGCACTAAGAGAGTCTCTTTTAGCAAGCCCATTATGGGTTCGGTCAGGCCCACAATGGGGTGGCCGGGTGGTGAGGGATGGGGTCCGACATATCCAGACCGACCATTCCCCGAAAAATTCCTGGGGATTTTTCGACCCGTAAGATCGGAATTGGATCCCGGGTCCCCAGAGCGGCAGACTGCCACCTTACCGGATGGCCGTCAAACCTAAAAATTACTAATATAACAGATCATATAATCCATTAGAAAGGATTTATAGCTTATTTTTGTATTTTTAGGAAAGATGTCCTGTCATCTGTGCTACTGAAAGGATGACTGAATTGCAGAAAAATTTTGTTTCTCTCTCTGTAGGAGAGAAAAATGATGAATAATTACAGATCTGAGGGATTGGTAGACATTCATTTTTTCATGGTCGTGCAAATGGAAATGCAGCAAAAATGCTTAAAATCGCATTTCATCTAAATTTGATTCGAATACAGTAATACCCCGACTTACGCGAACCCGGAGTTACGCGATTTCAAAGGTTCAAATCTCGAGGTTCAAATCTCGTCGATTCGTCTTTTGTTTGAGCGCCACGCAACCCTTGATTACTTTCTCCCCCCACACTATTGTTCAGCTTACATGTTCGGATGTGTCGCGCGGAATCCACACATAGCTACAATTTATTTTGTGTTATTTATTTCTGTGTTTGTTATATCTATGGAGATTCGAGAGACTCTACTACGTCATCCAAACGAAGTAGAACTAATTCTTCTGCATCAAACAAGAAAAGAAAAACTTTATCTTTGGAATGTAAAGTTAACATTGGGTATGGTCGTAAAGTCGAACGAGTTAAACGAGAATGACGTCATCGTTATTCCTATTTCGTTTGACTTTACGAACGTACCCATTATTAAAGACATCGATACAAAAATGAAAATTTGTGAATTGGCAAAGAAGTTTGATCTACCGGAATTGTCGGTCAGAACAATTATAAAAGGCAAAGAAAAAATTCTCGAAGCTGTGAGAAATGCTCAATCTTTAAATTCAAGCATCATTCGTAAACGTCACGGTATTAGAGAGGTTGCGGCCGACGTTTTCAACGCGAAAACGTGTACGTTGGACGTTCAGCGCCGCTTTCCTGTAAGTATAGCAGTTTGGCAATGGTGTTTGGAATGTCGAGCGTGATTCCACCGACTATCCAAACACCATTGTCAAACTTCTCGGCTTACGGGAAAGCGGCGCCGAACGTCCGACGTACACGTTTTCGCGTTGAAAACGTCGGCCGCAACCTCTCTATTATCGCTGAGATGGAAACAATGTTAAAATTATGGCGTAATAATCAAGTAAATGTGAAAAATTGTAAAATAATATAGGCCTAATTTGTTATACATATGTATTATCTAAGATTTTGTTAAACATTTTTTTCTAAATTATTGTTTTCTTTAGTCTCCGGCCCCAATTAAAAATTATTTGTATTTATTTATATGCGAAATTATACCCCGACTTATGCGGTTACCGCTCGGTCCCACCTGTCGCGTAAGTTCGGGGTATCACTATATTTTATTTAAACAAATTCATATTTATTTTCTTCTTTATCCAAAATATTTTTATTAGATTATTTTAACGTGGACAGTTATTTGTATCATTTCACCTTTTACTCCGCTATTTAAACAATCGAGTAGATTTAGTACCACCGAACGCCCTTTTTTTCACCATGTAAACTAACTCTTCGTGAATTTCATTAGAGTTTCGTTTGAAACGTCATCAACATCGAGCAATGAGTGGAATTCATTTAACATTAGAATCTCAACCCTTAGGTAACAGAATGATTAATTTTTATTTCTGAAGTGTTGCGTAGCAAACTATTGTATATGTCACTCCTTTGTATGTTATATAGTACATATAATTAATAAAATAACATAATGTTCAGTATACCCATGCTGTGTATTATTCCTTAGTACATTTAAGGAGGTTGAGAATATATGTTATGTAATTTTGCAGGTGAATATATGTAGTAGCATTATGGAGTATTACAGGTGGGGATAATAGTTAAAAAGCATAAAAATTGCAATATATAATTTATGCTTGATCTCTTACATTCATGTACAGTATATGTATTGTTCAAACTTAGCTATGTTCTTGTACTAATTTACGTAATGCCAGATGTTTATTTCTCAAATATTATGTTGCAGTGAAATAATAATCTACACAATCTGATTATTCATAAAACTTTATAATAAATAGTCATCTTTATCATCAGACAAAGTAGTGAATGAAAAAAATATTCAGAATGAAATCTTTATGAATAAAAATTATATATATATTTAAAGTATTAAATTTATTAACTTTATTAGAAAAACATGCAGTTTTTATAATCATGTTTATATTTCACAGGGTCGATGTAATCGTGAGAAGCCACCCTGCAAATACTTCCATCCGCCCGAACATCTTAAAAACCAATTACTAATTAATGGTCGTAATCATTTAGTCCTGAAGAATGCTCTCCTTCAACAGTTGCCCCTCCAACCAGTGTTGCCAGCTGCTGTGGTAAGTGCTCTTCCAAGTCTTCTGTATGCTCCCCTTGCCCATCAGCAGCGTGCCACCATTTCCTCTCTCCTCAATGTTATCAATTCTAAGGTAAGATTTGCTGGGTTTCTTGATCTAACACCAAGCTATGGCCACAGATAGAAGTAAATAAATTTATAATTTTTCTCTTTTAGAATTACAGTTCAGATTAAAAAAGATAAGAAATTTAATTATTTTGAAACAAAAAGTTTTGTTAATAGAAAAAAGAAATTATCAGAAACTATTAATTTATTTTATAGAAAATCAATAATATGAATTGTATCTTATATGTAGAATCTATTTATTTTGTTAATGGTTAGTGTAATATACATTGTAGTGTCATAAATAATATCTATATGCTGTTTTTTTTTTTTGGTCTTATTTACGTAACTTCAATTAATCTAAAAGCATACAGATTTGATTTAAATAATAATTTGATAACATGTAAATCATGTTTTATTTTAGAATTCTCTGAAAAATGTATTTACCATCCTAATTTTTGGAAAACTTTGTAATTAAAAGACTACATTATTTGATTTGTTATAATGCACATTTTACATGATTTTTATACTAAAATAATTAAAATATATTTTCAAAATTAATATATTATTTATTAAAAAATTTTCAGCTCAAAAAGTTAAACAATCTTTAGAAGTTGTGCAAGTAATAAAAAATATTAAAGACTGTACTAATTTCAAATTTTGTATTCTTAATTTATTTTCATACATTTCAATTAGTTATAAAAATATTTCATTATTTTCTTTGAAAGTTTTTCCTGTTTTATATAATTTTATAACAGCGCTGTCCAACTTATCATAGCCCGCGGGCCATATTTTCTTCACCAAACATTTCGGGGGGCCAAGAAGGTTGCTGCTGTATTCAGCCAGGTTAAGTGAAGTTACGCAAACTAAATAGTACCTACTTTAAATTCAAATTAGATTTAAATTTTCACATAGTAAAATAATTTTAATATTAATAATAATAATTTAGTAACATAAATTTATTCATAGTAAAATGTACTCGGGGGCCGTAAAAATTATTTGGCGGGCCGTATACGGCCCGCGGGCCGCCAGTTGGACAGCCCTGTTTTATAATAATCAAGTCTCGATCTCGGATTTGGATTTATATTTATTTTGTTAAATAATTCTACAAACACACTGTCTTAAAAAAATTTAAAACATTATTTTTGGACAATTTTTTAAAAAATTAGGAATATTTAAAAAGCCATTAATTGTTAATTAATATATTTTAAAATTTGTGCAATATTTGATATATAAAATTAGTAATTTAACAACAGTCATCATCATGAAATGAAACCAAGTACATTTTATGGTGTTATAACTCGTGTCATATTTGTTTTTTTTTTTAAATTCTTAAAACTGTTGCATCAAAGTATTGAAAAAGCTGAAAATTTCTAACAGATTTATAACTAACAATTTTGTTTATAAAACAAATTTTATGAAACATGTATATTGTTGCTTTATTATTGATATTCCCAGAGCTTTGTTTATCTAGAACAGGGGTCGCCAAAGTGGTCGATATGAACCCCCAGGGGTCGATGCAACATCATTGGGGGGTCGATGCGGCTAGGGGGTCAATTAGGGGGTCGATGCGGCTAAGGGGTCGATTAGGGGGTTGATGCAGATAAGGGGTTCACAATGTTCACAACCTTTTTTTTTTTTTTATTTTGCTTAGACACAGACCACAACCCACAACGTTTTATTTTTTTTTTCGCTCATACATATACACTTGTAATAAAACTTTACGGTGGGGGGTCAATGTGAGGCTTTGGAAAGTGATTGGGGGTCGACGGTTAAAAAAGTTTGGCGACCCCTGATCTAGAACATGCTGGCACACCATACCAGTAGAAAGCATAAAAAAGTATCTGTAGCCTGTGCCGGTACATAATACTGGTAGTTGCTCAGTAAAAACAATACTATATGTTCAGTTACTATAAATGCATACCAGTAATAATTTAGAAAAGCACTGGATGGATATTCCTGATATTGATTGATGAATTGTTTTTTATATTTTAAAAATATTCATTATTTAGAAAACTGTTGGATTATTTAAAAATGTTTGAAATATCAAATATTTAGAATAGAATTAAAGTTTAACAGTGTTTACAAACAAAATATTATTAATATTATAAGAATAAATCGTATTTTGTTTAACATGCTTTTCCAAATTATTATATATTATTTATTTGTCTTTGATGTATTGTTTAACATACTTATCATATAATATTTTTTATTTTGTACCTGTTTTATAAATTATTATCTTCATGTCTCATATAATAAATAATACAGTGGTACATGCCATTCCTGGTATAGTCAAAGTAGTTTTATAGTACAGTATTATATTATTTAGAACCATTTCAAAATGATGAATTAAACATTTTTATAAATAGCTACTAAAGGTTCATTTTCCTAGTTAGACCTGTTTCAACCACCAGTGGATTTTATGACTTGTGGGTTTTATGACCAGTGGGTTTTACAGTTGGGTGCAGCACTTAACTTGAGTTCACTTTGGATCTCAAGTTAAGTGCTTCCCTTAAGCAGTGTCGTAACTAGCCATTCCTGTGCCCTGTGCAAGAATTTGCACTTAGGCCCCTTAATTAATTAGGTTTGGGAAAATAATAAAACAAATACTTGCATTTTGGGCCCCCTTTCAAGTGGGCCCTGTGCGGGTGCACCTATTGCACCTGCCTAGATACGGCACTGCCCTTAAGTTCTCTTTTCTCTTATTTTATAAACAGAGACTGTGAGAAGTCAAAGGTCCCACCATCCTGCACCTAGGTTAGCTACATTGATCATTCTTTTCTTTAAAACAAACTGTTACACCTTACTATTGCACTCTGACGTCTGGTGAAAATTTCAACTGTCAATGCAGTTCATCTTTTTGATGTCATGTTAATTCCCTTCATATCTATATTTTTAATTTATAATTATTTGCATAATGTTGAAATTAATGTTTAATAATTTTTAGTAAGTCTGTAAAATGATGATTTCATCTTTTTTAATTCAGGTAGGAATATAAAATTAATGAATGAATTAAGTTTATTATTAATTTGTTATTGTATAAATTACTAAAAGATTTTGTAATAATTTTGAAAAAATATTCATTTTAAAAAAAATTTGATATAATAAGCACAACAAAAAATTTTACAATTTACTAAAATTAAAGCTAAATATAATGTTTATTTAACTGTTGAAGTTAATTATTATACTGTTGAAAAGAATGAAATTAAAACCTGAAAATTCACAAAATTCTAGACATTTTGTAATATACATTTTTATTTCAATTTTATATTTGTATATAATATTTTATTATTACTGAATATTTTACAAAAATTTTAAATATATAGTTTTTCATATTGAAAAATATGATAAAATAAATCAAATAAAATTATTTATTGTCTATCTGTGTCCAGCTGTGTTGCTTTTAATAAATGCATGTTTCTTATTAAAATTAATAATTTTCAGTTTTGCTTCTGTTTTAATGCATGATATTTTTCTAATGAGCTACACACTTTTATAATTGCATGGTTTTTCTATTGCATAAATATTTGAATATCTTAGATTCTTTATAATTGGTCACACAATTTTACTAATATATTACATATATATTTATATTTATATTATTATAATTATTTTTTGTGATAAGTAAAATTATGAAATTTGTANCAGATGTATTGACATTAGGTTTAAATTTTAACTTAAAAAAATAAAGACTACAGACAAATAGAATTTATTAAGTGCTATTTATATCTAACAGAACACTACAGTAATATATATTGACTGAACTTTTACAGTCTATTTTTTCAGATTCTAAATATTCAAAACATTACATTCCATTATGATCAGAAAGTATACAAAAACTAGTTTATATATCAATATATATAATCATCATCAGATTTCTTTCAGATTATTTTTAGATTATGTATAAATTAATTACTTTTAAAACTTAGTCTAGAGCAGGTCAATTTACTCATCTCTTAAAATTAATTTTTAGAAATGTATAGACAAAAAATCTACTGAGAGCAGGATTCAAATCTTTAACTTCCACAAACTAGACAGACATATTACTAAGTTATGTTGTTAAGATTCATAATTTCACTTCTAGAGTTGGAACTCGGGTCATAAAACTTGTTACTGTAATTTACTCTTTAATTTACAGGAGTTAAAGATTCAAATTCCACATTGGGTCAGTTTTTTTGACATTTATAAAAATTAATTCTAATTATTAAAATTCTTAAGAGATGGTTATTTTTGTTTGCTTCTGGATGAAATATCTTATAAGCTTGAAAGAAATTAAGCAATATTTGGTTACTTGATTTAACATATTCATTTATTTTATTTTGAAAAGTTGTCATAAAAATCTAAAACAAAGTGTTTTGTAATTTTTGTTAGAATAATTTTGATTTCTTTTTGATATTACACCTAAATATTTACAGAATTAAAATAAAGTAAAAAAATCAAAGTTATAAATTTAACACAATAATAAGGTGTAAAGTTTTTTAAATAAATTTATCAGATAAATAAACTTAAGTTTTAGAAGCTTATTATTTTATTCTTTTATTCTATTTCTCCTCACTTATAAAAACATGCATATTGGACAATAATAACTTTTCATTATCTTTCAATATATCAGTTTAAAAAAAATCATTTTGAATACATTTTTTAAATTTTTAGTAAATATAGCTTTCTGGTATATACTGTGTTATTGACAATTACATTTTCTTCTTTTAATGTTTTATAATAATTTTTAAATTATTATTATTTATTGTGGTTTATTATTTTGGGATTTGTTCTTTTGAGAAAGAGATATTTATAACTATCAAGTTTGTTTTTTTTCTAAATAAATAAACTTTGAAATGATAATTATGGTGATTCATTTCTCACTATTACTGGTGATACAAATTCAAATAAAACATATTGATACAAAACAAAATGTTAGTTAATTGAAATTAAATATAAATTAATGCATTACTTAAGTTTTAAAATCGAAATTAAATAATAAAGTTTACATTATATTTTTCAGAATTTTTAAAATAAAAATTTAATTAAAGA